AGGAACCAAGGATGGTGAAGGTTTAAGTGGCCTTCAGAGGAGCATGAAACTGCACCCAAAATACTGTTTGTAAAGGATACACTTCTGTGTGTGAATTCTAATGAAGATTTGGAGTTTCTCTCCAATTGCAGTTCAATGTAACTGAAGCAGTCTTGATAGTTTAAGCCGGTGCACTGGGATAACCTCCTTCTACAAGACTTGCAAAAATGCAATCAAGATGCTGCTTATTGGTATGTGTAATTCATTTGGATTTCTAGTAGAAAGATCAGCGACTGAGTGGTGAACTTAACACAATGCCATTACGAAGTTCCAACTGCCTGTATGGATGTGTGTGCTTTGCCTTTTTTTGCCTGGCTCACTATAGGTGCGATCTTCCACACGCTCACGTTTCACCCTTCATCGGGAAAAGAGAGGGGTTGAGGTAACTCCTTGCATCAACTTTAAGACTGGTGTTTGCTTGAAAACTTACTGAGCTAGTCTAGTAAGTAAAATCACAACTGGCTTAGGTTTTTTTCAACTGTCGCTAAACCCTCAGCTACTTGCCATTCAAGTACTGGGGGGGGTTGTTGTTAAATCGGTGTTGATTGGTGCTAAAATGGATGCTTTTTACTGCTCAGTATTTTTTGTAATGTTGGTTGTACTGAACAAAACTACTCAGGCATTCAAATCACAAGCCAGCCCCTTGTCCCTCCTCTAGAGACACACATATGTATTTCTTTCATCTTAATGCACTTCTCTTCTAGAACTTGAGCTTGTAATCTCAATCATCAAATCTATATTCTACGAAAACGCTCTCACTCCTTTGAAGTACTGTGATTGCTGTATGTTCACGTTGGGCTGCCGTTCACTGAAGCCTCATTAAGCTTTGCTCACTAAAAGAGAAAAATTAACATCTTACCGAGATACAAGATTTCATTCATTATAAAAGCCAAAATGAAAGGTTAGTTGAAACCAATGGTTTTATGTAATCAGAGGACTTCAAAAAGTCGGGACTCTAAAGGAATAAGTTTTAGAAGAGTTGATAACGGCTTCTTCTTTAGTACCAAAGCGCCGATGGGCACCTGTTAGCGTCTGCCTACGTCTTCTTGAAATGTTTCTAGGTTTTCTATGCCTAAATATATCAACCCATTCATGAAAATTTTATCCTGTAAGTAAGATGTTTTCTTTAGACAGTTCCTCAGGCTAGTAGCTCCCTGCTGCTAGGTATTTGCTCAATAGCTGATATGCCAGAGCCTTGCTCTTAGCCTGTTCTTTAGTCAGCTGTAAGAAACATAAATCAGAATGGTAATCACTGTCTTTTTTGTTGCAGGAATTCGTCCTTACAAATGTGAGGTTTGCAACAAAGCCTTCACCCAGCGCTGTTCCCTGGAGTCCCACCTTAAGAAGATTCATGGCGTGCAGCAGCAATACGCCTACAAACAGAGGCGAGATAAACTTTACGTGTGCGAAGACTGCGGCTACACAGGCCCCACGCAGGAGGACCTGTACCTGCACGTTAGTAACGTTCACCCCGGAAGCGCTTTCCTGAAAAAAACCTCAAAAAAACTTGCAGCGGTTTTGCAAAACAAACTGAGCCCTGTTCTGCAGATGAACTCCAAAGATGATGACAAAGATGAGTAACACGGTGGATTACAGTGGTCTAAAGGAATGAAGTTTACATGTAGGACTATATATATATTATTTTTTTAAAACCAATTTTGACAGAAATCCCTGAAATGAAAGGGATGCTTCTGTTAATGGGACTCTCTTGATGTTGGTAGAACCTCAACTTGAAACAAATATTCCCATATACGATGCAAACATCAGGCATTTTTATCTGGCCCCCAAAAAAATGGAAAGCTTGGAAGAGGCTGTCACCTCTTGGATGGAATGTTTACTGAACTGACATTCAGGCAACCCGTTTTCTGTTTCAGCTCTACCACACGTCCGAGTGGCCACTGACAAATAAGTTCACCTTTCCCCAGTGTATTTTGTAAAGATAATAACCATTGCCTCCTGTACAAACTACTTTTGAGAGGTTTGGGTGAAAAGTGCCGTGTAAGAGCAGCTACTAGCACGTTGTTCTATGCAAAATGAATTAAAATGGTCTTAAGAACAGGACTACATTGTATCAGTAAATAAGTTAAAATGCACAGATAAGCTTTAACTCTGCCCCCCTGTGCAGTACACTCACAGTTTATGGAAGCGTGATCCAAGGTGAGCTGAAACTTTTTTTAAAGGATGCAGAACTTTTTCCTCCCTAGAACTTTTTCTCTACTAGCAAATGACATTATTCCAGGGCAGACTTAAAGTCGTGTTTTAGGTACTTCAAACTGTGAACTTACTTTTATCATGTTTAGATTTAAGTGTAACCTTAACTCTGATGTTCCTGGAGTTGTCACGCTTGCTTTGGGGATTATTACCACAGCCTTCTAACATACATCAATATCAACCCAGAAACCCAAAGAAAACACTTCAGTGACTTGAAGCTATGTATTTTCTGTCGTGATGAAATGCAATTTTGTGTGTATTTTATGGGGGGGGCGCGTGTGTGTGTGCGTGTGTGTGTGTTCTTGGAGATTTTTTTCTTTTTAACCATCAAGTGCCTGCTCACTAATACAACAGAGCAGTGCAAGGCAGTGAAAAGGGAGACTGTCACTGCCTCACGAGATCAGTGCAAAACTGTAGGCACAAATCTGGCCTCTCTGTAACCAGTCAGTTTAGAAGGCTCCTAGTGAGACTGATGCTACAAGGGAAGGAGGTAGCGATGATGGTGAGGGACTGGTACTACACCTCTGTGCTTTTGGACTTCCCCTACAGTCCTGCTCCAGCTCCTGTTGACCCAGGACAACCAAGAGGGTAGCCTACAGGGACTATCGAGTGTGAATTTAGAGATTTAAAAAAACAGAGGAGAGGGATGCCCACATAACTCATGTTGCTGAAAGCACCTGACAATTTAAGACTCTTCAGAAACTGCTGCAGCCTTTACTGGGCACTTGGGCGTCTGAATTAGGAGCGACAGGGTGGGGTGGTAACTTCCTCAGCAACCACAAAGTGCTCTGGTCCAAGTGCATGTTATTTTGTCTCTTAACTTAATGGACACAGCTGCCAAACAGGTTTTACATCAATTAAAATGCATAACAATTAATGGATTTCATTCATAAATTCCAAAAATTAATTCCGTGCTCAAAATTACATTTGGGGAGGATGTGCTGTATTCTATGTACATTGAAACAACAGCTGAAAAGTAACCCACCTAAAACACAGAGTCATAGCCAGGACCTTCATAGTCATTACTACTAAAATGAGATTCTGAGCATCTCTGCAAGAATTGTAAAAATCTTCTCAATTTGCCTCAGTTTTGTACAGGCATCTGCTTGGGTTTTTGTGGGGAAAAGCTTCTAGGGGTTTTAAAGCATTTCTAATGATATGAATACTTTATTCAGCACAACTGTTGGTGCTTGGGACCTTGAAAACAAGGATAATAAAGCGATGCTACTGTGTAAAGAACAAACTTGTCATCCTATGTAATGGTAAAGTTTGCAGAATACTTTTGAATAGTATAAATGGAAGGTTGCTCACACCCAGCGCAGCTTGCGTGCTTGCAAATACATTGACAAAATTGCCTGGCTAAGAAAAGTGTTAACAGCTGGTTCAGCCAATTGTGCTGGCAACACTCCCCTGTAGCCCTCTCAGCGAGGTCTCAGTCATGAAACTTAACAGTTGAGTTCAGCTCCTAGGTGGGACTGTTCAGTACAGTCCATCTGAGCAAAGTGACTCGCATTCACCTAACTGCAAAGGATTCGTGTGCTTAGCTCTGCTGAAACCTCAGCCCTTACACTGGAGCAGTGGAGGTGCAGCTGAAAACCTCCTTATCTAGCTGGAGACACATTTTGTGTCTCTATGTGTTGTTTGTGTCTGTATGTCTGGCTGGTTTTTCTGCAGAGGACAGATAGTGCCTGTAGCAGATGCCTTGGGCACATCAATTTAACAGTCTGGCAAGTTAGTTTGAAGTGGTCACAAAGCGGGTTTGACTTTGCATGACACTGGCGACAGCCATCTGCCAGTTCTGTTATGGGACAAAACTGGCACTAGCTTGTGCCTCCCAAGGCAGCCAGACTTTCAGAAGTCCTAGACATGAGTAACTTCCACCGCTGCTGTCTTTGAAGGCTGTCTGCTTTCTCCTGGCTCTCTGATGGTACAAACTCATCTGAGACTTAAAGCTAGGTTTACAAACTGACCTTGCCAGTGAAGCTGGCAGCATTCCTCAGACACAAGGCTTTTGTTAAACAAATGGACACAGATGAAGCCAACAGGTGCCCACATTGCCCAGGCTCCAGACTTGTCCTTATTTACTAGGAGGCAGGACGAGGCTGAAATCTTACATGGTTCAGACATCTAGTGGCTGTATGATGCACTGATGAAGGTGGCAATCCCTCCCAAACATTGCCCAACTGTTCTGCGCGCTCTTGATTTATCCCATCCCAATCAACACAGGGAATTCAGCATGTTTTATCACCTCCTGCTTCTGCCCAGAGCATCTTACCTCTTGCTTATACCCACCCTCTTTGTATCCACAGAGCTATCTTTCACAAAAAATTGACCGTGTTCAGTGACGTTGAACCACCCACTTGCTAAAATTCTGTGATGTGGGAAGATACTTGTAAAACGGGTAGAACTTCTGAGCACTCATGCAGCGTTGTCGTGGTTAGTCATCTCTGAACCCAGTTTCTCAGTCTCCATGGTTTGTCTTTTTAGATAGAAATCTAATTAAGCACAGAGTAATCAAAACATCACCAGACTAGGTTTAAATAAGCAAGTACCACTATAACTAAGTTTCATTGCACAGGTTTCCACAGTTCAGTACTCTGGAAGAGCAGAAGATTAAGCGCTACAGAGGTTTAAGTTTCTTCAGCAGCAAGCCCGCCCACTGTTTTTTTTAGGTACAGTTCTGGCTGACTTTCTTGAAGCTTACGGGTTGGTTGTATTTTTATTTGTAATCTGCAGTGGTATTATGAAAACTCATACATACAATTCAGAGAAAACAAAGAACGAGGAAAAAAAGCTTTCCGGGTGTGCAACACAAAGCAATAACGCCTGACATCAGCAAGGCTTATTCTGTGTCTTACAGACTTGATTTTACAAAACAAGCTTCAAAAGTAACTTCTGGTTTAGAACAATTATTCACAAACTCATTTAAAAAAAAAAAAAAACCACACAAAAAACCAACCCCCCAAAAAACAATCAGTGGCTCTTCATTCGTCAGAAGGCTCAGCTTCGAAGTCACAAGCCTACTTTTATAAAGAAACTTACTCGCACTGGCAAACGCTATAACTTGACACTGGAGATCATTCCACATGGGTAGGCTCGTCGTCAGCTCAGACCCACAGCGAAGTCAGGAGAACTCAAGACAGTTGCAGATTTGGCCTGCACAGAACCTCACAACCTAAGGTACAAAGCCCGTTTACACTCTCTCAGTCTTTATGTGGGCTGCACAGCCTGCTAAGAAACCTGCAGGAGGAGCCACTACAAGTAGTCAAACTTCTACCTTTCAGAACAGTTGCTGGAAATTTCTAAAGGTATTGGTTATAATTCTGTCCCTCTGTTCCTAAGCCACTTCTATTAAGTGATAACTTTGCCTTAATATTTTAAATAAGTGCTTATGAGAACTTTGGTTATAATTCTTAGTGCAGTTTTTCCAGTTGTTGCTGTAAGAAAAACCACAAATAGTAACAAGCCTCTTAATAGATACCTTTGAGATGAGCAAGAACTAAGCTGACTGAAATCCAGCCTACTATATTCATTTGTTTATTGTTTGCATTTCTTTCAGCTCAGACAATGCAGATGTCGTTTTGCTTTAGTTCACCAACTTCATTTTCAAAGCCTCAGTTCTGCAACATTTTTTTTTTTCAAAAATGACAAAAGAAGGATGATTTGATTTGAACTGTTTAACTTGACAATAGAAACTTTTCTATCAACCTCAGGTTGTATAAACTGTGTGGGGAAAAACTGAGATTAAGTAAGTTGACTTTGTCCTGGTCCACTTAAGTCACCTACAACATAAGTAAATACACATTCCCCATTCCAAACGTCCTTGCTTTTTTTTTTTTTTTTTTTTGGGGGGGGGGGGGAAGGGCGGGGCAGGGACAACCCTGATATTAAGAAATTAGCCAAAGTTACTCAAAAAAGAACGTGTATTAAAATGGCAGAATTAAACAAAGGATTCTTGCTTCGGGTCTGTGCTTAGACCACTTGCCTCTGCATAGCTTAGTTCAGGTCAGTTTTTGTCCATGTACTCTTCAAGGCGCAAAAGCCACTTATTCCAGTACTGTGAGCACAGATCAGGATCCATGAAATGCGGATGCGCAGGGGAGCCGTTCTTATAGGCAACCACAATGAGTCCACAACTAACCTACAGTTAAAAACAGAAGGCTGTCAGAAATTCAACATTAGTATGCAACTTCAATCAGCAATTCTAAAAACTAAACCTCACTGCAAAATGTCCTCTTAACATATAAGTATCTTAAATAAGAAATGGGGAAAAAAAAAGAGCAGTAATTCACCATAAAATACTTGAAAACTAACATTCAAATGCTCCAAAGACTCAGTCAGAGTCCAAAGCTCTGACTGACTTCGGTGAAAACCAGAGGACTCGAACTCTGAGTATCAGAGTGATAGGGTCTATTTAAACCTTGCAGATGCTGGTAAAGTTCCCAGCGACTGATGAGGTTTTGCCTGGGGTCATATAACCAGACTGATGCCATTCTCCAGCATCAGTCTGAATGGAAATGGTTATTTAGGTGTGTTCTGACATCTTTCATACTTGACAAACATCTAATCCAAATTCAAAACAGCCACTGGCATGAAGAGAAAGCAGTGGGTGACAGCAGGCTAATAGCAGAATTCTAGAATTACTGCCTGTATTTCACTCTGTAAGGATCATGCCTGTTAAGTGCTTGTGTTTGCTGACCTCTGTAGTATTCTAGAAAGTCCTTTGCACAACCTATGAATTATTCTGCTCTCTTCTGCTTTATATTTCCCCCCCTTCAATGATTTGCATTGAAATAACAATCCTGCAGACCAAGCAGGCCTGGCTAGAATTGCGTTTGGAGTCTTTACAACACACTGCTTTCCTCTGAGGAAACACTATACAGCTTCCAAACACTCCAAGTAAATCACTTAGTCCCTCATTTGCTAGTGGGATATAGCAACACATGATGCAAGCAATGCCCTCCCACCCCATTTCCGTGTTTGCAGGCTCTTTTGCTTTACTTCTTCTCCCCCTTCCTACTCTTGACATAAGCAAAAACCACACAGAACAAAGCACTGGGGGTTGTCCAGACGCCAAGTCACTGTCAGTTCACCTGACCTCCTAAGACACTGAGCATCCCTCAGTCCCACTGAGCAGTTCCTTAAAACCACTGAAAATATACTGCTGACAGGCAAAGGCAGCAGGATTAGCAAGAGTACTGGAGTTATTTCACAGTACATCAGCTTATCCTGATCTAAGACTGGGCTGCTTTGTTACAAATCCTACCAACAGTTCCATGATGGACAGTGGGTGCTAAAGGCAGTAGGTGGGGAGAAATGAAAATAACGTGGGTGCTGCTGCTTGTCTTGGCAAGTAGCAGGCCTACTGACCTGGAAGTCATAATTGGCATCATGATTTATGGCTCCAATATACGCTGCAACCTGTAATGGGTTGTCAAAAGTATTCTTCAGAGATGGCTTTGGTTTCTCTGAAGTTTTCCAGTCAATCACACACAACCGGCCTCTGCAGAAGAGAACAAGATAGGACAATATTTTAAACTTAAGTTTAGTCATAAGTAAAAAGTAAGGGATGAGACAGCAAAGAAAGTCGTATCACTCTCTGCCCGTTTCACCCTGATGTCATGTTGCTCATTATTATGTTTAAGCATGTCTTTTCCACATTGGTAGCTTAGATCTCAAAAATCAAGACTTAACTAATATATATGCTGCAGTTCCTGGCAACTGCTGAGGATCACTTAACCCTGCGTCACTCATACCCTGCCCCAGTAAGGAATTCTCCACAAGAAACAACAGCACTTCTGTCATCAGGTTCATCCAGGGGAGTGCATCCATTTCGCCGCTCTTAGAGATGCATCCAGCTTCCCCCCAACACCTCACCAACACACCTGCTCCAGCCTGGGACACAGCCTCCCATGTGCCACAGAGCACCATGCAACACTGGCATTATCAGGTTTCTTAGAGAACCAGTACCTCACCGATACTTAGCCACGCAGTCTACCAGGCCCAGATACTGAAGAGTCTCATGCTGAACTGCACTTTCTAGAGCTTTCACTTCGCTGATATCTTTTAAGACATGCTGCACACTTGATAAGTAGCCGGAAATAGCAACATCTTCTCTCTGCTCCTTAGTTGCCATCTCTTCAGACAGGAATATAGACTCCAAAGCTGCATGAAAGAGCTCTCCTTGGAGGAAAAGGTCTAAGAAAAATGTGAAAAAAACCCACATTTTAGACACTACTCATAATACCCGATGGACTTGTATTCTAGATATTGCACAACATAGCTCTTAAACCAGTCCTGTTTTTGTACTGAAAGCTTGAAGATGCAGGGAACAGAAGGGAATGAGACAGAAAAATAAAACATCACCAGTGAAATTAGAGTATCTCTTACATTAATGCTTACTGTACTTTTTTGGTCTTGCTAATTACTCAGAAACAAAATATGATTTTTAATTTATTCTTTATTCAAAGGCATTTGCAAATTTCTATGAATTAAAAATATTATTCTAGGCTGCTTTTGCTGCATTTGCTTCTTCTGCTGTATTGGTTCATTTGAATGGAACTAATCTCCTCCTGAAATGGGTGGGCATAGTTCCAGGAGTAAGGGCTTATCTCAGAAATGATTCCAGGAAAGATAAATTTTAAACAGTTATGTAAGGTTTGTTATGCCACCTTATTCACTGAAGTGCTTAGTAACTCAAAAAGCATAAACACAGGATACTCAGTTTTAAAAAGCATAATAATTTATGTAAGCAGCGCTTGGGTATTTATCAACCTCGCTACAAGAGGCTACCTACTATCACCCAGGTCCTGCCAGATCCCCTTCAGTCCTACAGCTTGGAGGAAGTCACCTTTGTAGGTCTTATGAAATGAAAACCTCTAAATGCATGGCAATTTCATAGAAGAGGCTACATATACTGGATAAACTAGTTACTGAAGAACTGCAACATAAACAGCAAGATACATAGGTTTTTAAACACTCAAGATGGTATGATTTCAGAATGCTTATTTCCACCTCATTACAAAGTAGCTTTGTATCTGCAAACAGGCTCAATAACATCAGCTGGAAAACATCTATTTGTAAATAGATACTAACAAATGGAAAAATAAAGGAGAGGCAGGTAGGGTACAGCAAAGAATGTCTACAGTCTAATTCTCATGTCCCACACATTTCTAAATCCATTTTAGTGGTCCTAGAACAATGATCAGTGTTTAGATTCATTGGTAACAGGTGTGCTAATAATATACTCTCTCCCCTTGAAACGGACACAACTTGATGGATTTCCAAAACACTTGACTCGAAGGGCCAGAGACTGCAGCTATGCTAGCGCATCCCAGCCAGCTATCCAGACTATTGCTTCTACTTGGCAATCGCACTGTGTTTACTTACTTTTAGTATACTCTGCAAAACCATCTTTTCCAAGCTCCAGTATCATTTTCTGCTTCCATCTTTCCAGATAAAAGGCTTGCTGCGGAGAAATAGTCTGTTGAAGAATACGGGTAACACTGGGCATTTTCGTTTTTTGCAAAGCAATTTTCATGGGGAGGTTTGAATCACTGTTGAGAAGAGGAATTCTCTTGTTGGGGTTTATTAAAGGAACGCAGTTCTTGGGAGTTTTTGTTTCAGCTTTAACTGGAGGTCTCTGTTTATCCGGTGGCCCATATAACAAATTGTCTTCTTCAAGTATTGTCTCTGGTGTTTGGGCGCTGGTTTTGTAAGATGTAACAGAGTAGACCAAGTTCTTGTATTTTTCTTGGTCAACTTGTTCATAACTGTTCGTTTTTTTCTTCTTACTACAGAGACACGCAGAGGTAGCCAGACACATATATGGGAATTGCTTTTGGCAAAAAGGTATTTGAAAAAGCATTTCCAGTTTCCCCGGTTTCCTGGACAGTAGCTGTAGGAATCTCATTCTGACAAGAAGCATTTGTGAGCAGTTAAAGTTTTCTTTCTTCTGTTAGGAACAGTCTGTAGGTTACCATATTTTCCTCCTGTGGGAAAAGAAATTTGTGATTTCCAGAGTCATAAAACTCCACCACCAACCCATTTTTGCCCTTTGCCAAACAAAGAACTGCTATGGTCATAAAGCGTCTTCATACACTTTATGCCACCGAAATTCCTTCAGATAAATAATACAATAAGAGAAAGAACCAATAAGCAATGGAAAGAGGAAACAATCCCAAAAAGAACCGGTGCTGCTCTGCAAAATTTCAAACAGGACAAACACATAAAGATGTTGCAAGTAGCAAAAGATGCAGCACAGGATGCTCTTACAGCAACAGTATCAGAAGTGTCATGAAAGTAGACACAAAAAACTGATCTGCAACAAACAACCCCCCAAAAGATGGAGGGGGAAATAATAATTAAAAAAAAAAGGCTATGCAGAAGAGAATGAAGCAAATCCATTGTTGTTAGGTATTAAAAACATGCAAGTTTATAGTGGATGCCCAACTTAAGGGGAGTGTGGGGACAAAGTGCCTTTTGGAGAATAAAAACGTGTTTTTCTTTTGTATACCTAGGAGAAAGCAGACAGCAGCAGTATATGCATTCTGAAATTGGGAGACACGAGACTGGGAAAGCCAAAGAGAAACCAGCTGTACTGCAAGTATCTGCAGATTCAAATAAATCTTTTAAAGATCAGAGTAAAACATAAAAGTACTTTTTCTAAACTGAGTTTCAAACATAGTTGTGTTCTAAGACACTTAGGAAGTTTAAAAGCAAAAACAGTATACCAGAAACATTGTTCACAGCATAGCTTTCAAAACTGCATTGTAACTGCAGTGCTAAGTCCTAGGAAAGTTAACGCACATGGATAACATGTAAATACTCGAATAGTGACATTTAAATCAACACTAAATACTTGCAGAATTGAGGCCCTATTCTCCTACTGAGACCATTACAAAGTTCCCTTCCATCCACTGCAACAAAGAATACAGACAATGCACATTGCCAACTAACATCAGCATTTTGCTCCTGACAATACTTTAACATCACTCTTTTCCTTCCCCACGCTTCTTACACAGCACTTCATACACTGTCCAAGCCGTAGGCCCCACAGAGTAGGAGGAGTTATTTTGTATGGGCAGATCCTGCACTCATGCAGAACTGCAGTGACACCAATGTGTGGGTGAAGGCATGTGTCACACAGAACAGTTTGCAAAAATGGGGCTGTATCAGCTACAGCTGATTAGATCAAGGCATCCTGTAACAACAGGCTGAGACCTTGGACTTGAGTTCCATAAATACTGTTCTTCATCTGTGAAGGACAAAACCATCCAGATGTAGAAGTTTAATCAGGAGTAGGCAGATACACTGCTTTTTTCTTTACTGGCTTTACATTTTCATGCTGACTTTGTATGGTTTGGGCAAATAATAACTGTTCTGTAACCTAATGGCATGTAACCCGACACAAAATTAATCTGTCAAAAGCAAATCTGAACCAGGAAAACACAATCAGGTTGGACCAGAACTGTGTGTCATGTAGCAGTGGCATTTCTGACCCAGTACCAGGTACCCTGCAGCCAGATTTGCCTTACTGTTGTTAGATGGTCTCACTCAGTCTTTAGTAAGGGTTCCCTACAATTACAATGCATATCAATCAAAATAGTTAATGATTTAAAAACTGCTTCATTGTCCATAAGAGAGTTACAGAGGAAAATAATGAAAGTACCAACTGGTTAATTCTGCTACTGACTTTTTACCTTACAAGGGAAACCTTACCATTTAAGATACTTTGAATGTGTCACTTCCCTTTTTTTAATCATTACATTATACTTAATATCAAAGCAAATCTAAATCTGCTTTCCTTATCCAGCAGAACTAGGGCTAGGTGGAGCTGCACGTGTTTTCTCATTTTCCAGTATTCAACAGCAAGAATGGACATGACCCTTTGCGCGTTCCCTGACCTTCAGATTGCTGTCAAAACTACTCTCCTGCCTGCACATGAGAAAAGTGCAGTCACATACATTATGAAAGGACAAACCAGACAACTTCAACAATTTTATTGCCACAAAAGCATCCAAGTTTTGCCAAAAAATAGAACAACCTGCTTTAGACAGGTTACACAGCAGCAAGAAATTGGACTGTCTATGTTCTGTAACTTAAGTTCTGCCCTGCTTCATTTCATGGACATGTGAGGAAGTTTTATAAATTTAGGTGAAACATAACCAAATTTATGCCAGGATTTACAGCAACTCATTCTTCTCAGAAGACTATCACAGTTTTTAGTAGATTTTTCAGTGTTGGAATGGGATCAGTTATCTGACAGAATCTGCCCCTTGCTGAAAAACAAATAATGAACAATGCTAGCACATTACAACAGGTGTCAGTTTGCTGTGGGAGGTAACAACAGTAAAAGCAGCAAAGAGATATGTAAAAGTCAGGCTTTAATATGATAAGCAAATTGCTTCACCGTATTTTTTCATCATGAAAAGCAGTGCAGAAAAATTAATCTCTCCTCTCTTGGCATTTACCTCTAAATAGAGCTGCTGAAGCTGTGATTTAAAAACAAAACAGGAAAAAAAACCCCTCTTATTCCAGTGTAACAGTATCCAAGCTTCTAGTTTCTCAGGCTATTGTTTGATGACCACTAATATGCTTACCCAAGTGTATTAATCAGAACAGAATAAATGCTGGGTCAATGACTGTGTGTTTGTGACATTAGCCAGAGCACAAAAGAAAAAGTTTATTCTGGCCTTATGTCAGCTGCAGGAATCAAGATGATACCTGATTCAGCATAAAGTTCACTTGTAGTAAGCTGCCCCCTCAACATTTTTTAAGGAATGAATTTATACCAGATCAGTGTTTTGAATCACAGGGCTATTAAAATATGCAATATTATGAGCCCTAAAGCTAATTTACTATAACACTAATGCAGTGTTTCAGTAACATCTAGTAGGAATTTTAAATTTAACAGCCTATATCATTCTGGAGTAATATCTGTGGAAATGTTTGTGCACACTATGAAATGAACCACCAGGAAAGGGAGAGTTTATCAGCTGCTGTGCTGTTCTACAAAAGGAAAGAGGTTTTAGGACTGCTAAGAACTAAAGAACGCTTGTGTCTAGCGGAATAAATCAGTGGCATTTGCGTGCAAATAACTTACGTTTATAAGAAAGAAACGGAGTTGGAGTGGTCTGGATCTACTCTCGTATATAAAGAGCAGAATTTAATTGATATTTCTCTCTGGGGAAGCATCTCCCTTCTCTCTGAAATGGTCTGTGTTCGAAGACTGGTGGAACTGCTTCAAGTATTGTATGATGAGCCACACTGGTGAGCTGAACACAAATAAAATAACCTGGGAAAAAAACAAAACAAAACAAAGAAGGAGGAGGACTTCTCTTAAGTTTCCAAACCTAGCTGGCTTTGCAGCTCCAACAACAACTGCACTAACACAACTGAGGAATTTTTTCCAGGATAGGAATTAGTGGCCTAAGTGACGGAAACAAAAAGGGTTACTTAAGAAAAATCCGTAAAAACCTTCCTCCAACTAGGATTTCAGACAATAATCAGTATAGCTTTTTCTCCACAGTCACCTATCAAGCAAACAAAAGCACTAGTTTACTTCCGAGGTAATAAGAAAGAGCACTACTAAGCACAGTTACAGATCTGTTGCCCTGTGTCCCTAATTCGAGGAGAGCAAATCCACTGATGAAGGTATAATTTTAAGTTAACATCACAGGCTTTTCTCTGGGAAGAAGTATTACTATTTGATGTAGAAAGGCAACAGTAACCTATCTTCTTGGTTGGAATGACCGCTTTCTCTTTTCTCTGAGTACAGCTTAATAATGCAGGGCTTTGACAGCTGTATCACTTTTAGGACTTTGCACACTTGCCCATTCCCTGCCCCCAACCTCTATTCCTTGGCTCCCTGCAGTTTGTAAGCTACATCATCGAACCTATACAGGTCAAAAATACAGCCCCCTCTTTTGGGAAGTTAAGAGCATAGGGAGAAAAAGGATATTTAAATTTAGCAACCCAGTTTAAAGCACAAGCCCAGAGAGCTACACTGGACCAACGGGACAACAAGCTTCAGCACTGGGAAGGTAATTGGTGGGAAACAGGGGTGTAACACAGTCTTAGCGTTTTTAGCAAAGCAATCATGAAAGAGCTGACCCAATACAGGTGACCAGCAAGTCCCCTCCAGCAGACAGACAATCTTTCTGCGTAGGCACAGGTGCCTGAAAATCCCAGATAGGGCTAGATAGCCTATGCTTCCCTCTCACTCCCTCAGACATAAGTCATTCTGGACAAGAAGCCCTGCTCCATGCCGGCGTGCCCCACTGCCTCCGCGGCCATGCCCACCCAGCCCTGGGCAGCCCCGCCATGAGGTTACAGACCCGGGAGCAGGGGGTGGGCACACGTTTGCCCAGCGTGCGGTTGGGGTGCAGGGGTAGGCCACGGGAGGAGGGAGCTGCAGGCCCAGCAGCCAGGGCAGGCCGCAGCTCTCCCTCAGCTAACCCAGGCCTGGCAGAGCGGCGGGTGCTGAAGGGAGCACCCTTTCACCTCACCACCACACCTATCAGCGGCCGAACAGCCCCAGTCCGCCTTCTCCTCCCCGCGCTGCAGCTGCCCACCGAGCCAACCCCAGCTCCCTCACGAACATCAATCCCCGGAGAGGGGAAACCCAAGGCGACCGTCAGTTACCTCAGCGCCGCGCTTCCCGCCACCGCCAC